TCGTGCAGACTTTCACCAGGGCTCTTGGTCCCGGCCGGCCTGGCGGCCGCACAAGACAACCACCAGACCTCCAGGCTCCGACACGCCAGGACAGGAGACAGTACGTGCCCGGCCACGAGCAGACAGGCAAAGCGACACTGGGCGTGCTCATCGACACCCGCCTGCCCTGCGGGACCCGGGCACAGAGCACCGAGCAGGGCAGCCGGGACCCACACGCACAGAGGACACGCCGGGCGCGCACGTTGGCTCCCCCGACCCACGCGGGTGTGACGGCACCGGAAGCCGGGACAGACTGGCAGAAAGTACGTCACCAGGAGCATTTCCTTCGGAAAACAGGCTGCAGCTCGTTTTACAGACGACTCCCCGAAGGGAACGAGACGCACCACAGCGTCCCCACTTTCCCCACGGCCCGGCCGAGGCTCTGACGGGTCACTGGCCCTGACTCCACGCTCCACCGTGCTCCCCACGACCCCCGCGTCCCCAGAGGTCAGCACCCCCAGGCCGAGGCCAGGGGGCAGGCGCGGCCTGCACGCGAGGGTCCTGCGCTTGGGGAGCGCCCTGGTGCCAGGGCACAGACAAGCCCAACGGCCCTGGGACTGTGCTGGCGGTGGGGCGCTAACCCTCACTCCCACGGCGCTCCCTGGTGTCCAGCCCAAAGCCCCTGGCACTTCCCCTGGCTCTGCCCTCCACAGCGGGGGAACAGCTGGCCGTCTCTCGGCGTCTTTACCGCTGGGGCTCCGGAGACCCCCCGAAACCACACACGCACAGGACAGGGTCTCCGCGCTTCCGAGGCTGATGCGAGAAGCAGCCAGGTGCGGTGTGTGAGCCCCACGCTTGCTCCAGCCACAGGAACGACGGCGAAAACGTCAGAGGCTGTCCTCGGGGCTGGCGCTCCCTCTGTGGGGACGGGGTCAGTCACTTAAAGAGGGACATCCGCAAGTGAGACCCGGTGCAGGAAAAGGCAGCCAGACGGGGAGCCCCGCGGGTCGGGCCGGCTGCACCACAGCCTGGAAAGAGAAAGGCAGGCGGATGCGGGGCCCGGAGGCCCACAGAGCAGACCAGCTGACGGGCTCGGGTTACCCCGGAGGGCAGCGCTGGGTTGACACGAGGAAGAACTTTCTTCTTGAACAGACACTCCTCCAAAGAAGATGCACCCGTGGCCAGAAGCACACAGAAAGTTGCTCACCACCACTAATCATTACGGAAAAGCAAATCAAAACCACAGTACTGCCTCACAGCCAGTGGGACGGCGAGTCTCAAAACAAACAAACAAACAAACAAACAAACAAACCCGGAAAATAACAAGTGTCATGAGGATGTGAAGAAACTGGAACCCTGTTCGTTGCTGGTAAGAACGCAAAACGGTGCGGGGGCGCCTGGGTGGCTTAGGTGAGCAGTTGAGCGTCTGACTCTTGATTTCGGGTCAGGCCACAGTCTCACGGTTTGTGGGTTCGAGCCCCGTGTCGGGCTCTGCACTGACAGTGCGGAGCCTGCGTGGGATTCTCTCTCTCCCCGTCTGCCCCTCCCCTGCTTGCACCTGCACACACGCTCTCTCTCAAAATAAACTTAAAGAAAGAAGAATGCTTGGGGCGCCTGGGTGGCTTGGTCGGTTAAGCGTCCGACTTCGGCTCAGGTCACGATCTCAAAGTCCGTGAGTTCGAGCCCCGCTTCGGGCTCTGTGCTGACAGCTCAGAGCCTGGAGCCTGTTTCACATTCTGTGTTTCCCTCTGTCTCTGCCCCTCCCCTGTTCATGCTCTGTCTCTCTCTGTCTCAAAAATAAATAAACGTTAAAAAAATTTTTAAAAAAAAAGAGAGAAGAATGTAAAATGGTGCAGCCACTGTGGAAAACAGTCCGATAGTTCCTCAAAAGAATTAAAAATAGAGCTACTATATGATTCAGCAATTCCACTTCTGGGTCTGTACTCAACAGAACGGGAAGCAGGGGACCAAACAGATACATACACATTGTGTTCACAGCAGCATTTTTCACAACAGAGATAAGGTGGAAGGAACCCAAGTGCCCGACCACAGAGGAGCAGTTACGCAAGACGCGGTGTCTTCATACGATGGCCTATTATTCAGCGTCAAACAGGAAGGAGATTCTGACACGTGTTACACAGATGAACTCGACGCTACGGAAACAGGCCAGTCACAAGGACAGACGCAGGGTGTCCACTTATATGAGGCCCGGCAGCAGCGAAACGCATAGAGACGACGGCGACAGCAGGGGCGGGGGCGGGGGTGCTGTTTAACAGGGACAGAGTTTCAGTTTCGCAGGATGAAGAGTTCTGGGACATGGACGGTGTGACAGCCGCACAGCGGTGTGGACGTGGGGACGTACTTTGTACCATTTTAATACACTTACAAACGGTTACCATGTAAATTTTAAGTTATGTGTACAAATTGCACCACGATTGGGGCGCCTGGGTGGCGCAGTCGGTTAAGTGTCCGACTTCGGCCAGGTCACGATCTCGCGGTCCGTGAGTTCAAGCCCCGCGTCGGGCTCTGGGCTGATGGCTCAGAGCCTGGAGCCTGCTTCCGATTCTGTGTCTCCCTCTCTCTCTGCCCCTCCCCCGTTCATGCTCTGTCTCTGTCTGTCCCAAAAATAAATAAACGTTGAAAAAAAAAAAATTCAAATTGCACCACGATTAAACATTTCTAAAGAGAAAGAACTTTCCAACAAAGCAATTTCTTGGAGCCGTTTGCGACCGTCTGAATCCAGTGGTTGAGCGAAGAGGTGTGCGTCCGAAGCATTTCCCGCACACGGGGCTGTGCACAGCTCTCTCCCCTCGCAAAGGCTCCGGGGCCCCGGTCAGGTTCAGCACTCGGAAGATGAGCGTGTTTGGGCTCCAAGTGTGTACAAATCGAACCGTGGACAGGTCACCACAATCTAGCCTGAGGGATGTCCCAATGGGTTTAAACGGTGCCCCTAAGTAAGAGAGAGGACTCAGGCCTCCCTCCCCACCCAAGTCTTTGCGGGAAATAGGCTTTGGGAAGAGGGTCCGGCAGAAACCTGCCTGCTGCCCCTGACGGACGGGTGACGGGAAAAGGGCCGGCGAAGATCTGAGCCTGCACCGGACGTTAAGCGCATCCAACTAGGAACGGCCCACGGCGACTCGTCCGGCTCCCCCGGGACACGAAAGGCAAAGCAGGGGGGAAGCGGGAACGCCGCGTCTCTTCCGGGGTCCCCCCGGGGCTGCGGTGCGAGGATGTGCCAGCCAGGTGGGCCTGGGCAACCGCCTTTTCCCCCTCATTTCTACCTTTTCCTCTTTATCCACATGTCTTCAATAAACGGGTACTGTATTCCCGTTTTTGTTTTACTTGCCTGGAATTTAAGAACGACTCATTTGTTTCGACTGTGCTTCTGTGCTTCAGCCAGAAGCCCGTGTGGAAGCCGTTCCAATGGAAACACTGCGCACAATGGGGTGGGCTGCTGCAGTGGGTAGTGAGCTCTCCACCTCTGGAAGCACTCAACCAGAGGCTGGACGGCCTCTCTACGCACTGCGATCTGAGAAGTTCCTGCGCTGGCTCTGGGTCTGCTGAATCCTAATCGTTCACAGCAAGGAATCAAGATGTCTCAAGACACCTCAAATCGTTTCCTCGGGAGAAAGGCAAGGCAGCTGTGTTGGCCTGCTGCTCGGAGTTCGGGAGGCACCAGCAGAACGAGGAGCATCAGGCCAAGCAGCTTCCTCTGCAAAAGCAGGACTGGAGATGGCAAGTGGGGGACAAGGGCCACTGTTCCCAGAAGCCCTGCTTTGCTTCTTCGCCGTGAGAGCGTACTAACTTGATGAACATTTCGGAAGTAAAGACAAGACACTGGGGGCACCTGGGTGGCCCAGTGGTTGAGCTTCCAACTCTTGATCTCAGCTCAGGTCGTGATCCCAGTGTCATGAGTTCCAGCCCCACGTCCTGCTCTGTACTGATAGTGCAGAGCCTGCTCCGAGTCTGTGTCTCCCTCTCTCTGCTTCTCCCCCACTCTCTCTCTCTCTCTCTCTCTCTCTCAAAAGAAATAAACACTTAAAAAAACATTAACCATGCAGTTACTACACAATACATCTCCAAAAGTATTTAATGTGAGAATGCTCACAGTATCCTCCCCCCACTCACACACATATTTAAGGAAAGGAAAGAAACCTATGAAAATGTTCTCTCTCACTGGTTTTCTCTAGGTGGCAAAAATACTGATGATAATTTTTCTCATATTTTTGCAGAATTTTTCATGTTCTATCACAACCACAGTAATGTCAATCATTCCCCAAAGGCAATTATTTTTACCTGTAATATCTTTTTTTTAATGTTTATTTTTTTTTTAACGTTTATTTATTTTTGAGAGAGAGGGAGACAGAGCATGAACGGGGAGGGTCCGAGAGAGGGAGGCATAGAATCTGAAACAGGCTCCAGGCTCTGGGCTGTCAGCACAGAGCCTGACGTGGGGCTCAAACCCACAAACTGTGAGATCATGACCTGAGCCGAAGTGGGACACATAACTGACTGAGCCACCCAGGTGCCCCCTGATGTTTGTTTATTTTTAAGAGGGAGGGAGAGAGACAAAGCATGAGCTGGGGAGGGGCAGAGAGAGAGGGAGGCACAGAATCTGAAATGGGCTCCAGGCTCTGAGCTGTCAGCACAGAGCCTGACGCGGGGCTCGATCTCACGGACCGCGAGATCATGACCTGAGCCGAAGTTGGTTGCTCAACTGACTGAGCCACCCAGGCACCCCTGCCTTTAACATCTTTTTAAAAATAGGAAATATTAGTAACTGTGGTTCACTAAATACAGCTACAGATTCTCTGAGGCGCCCCAGCTGTGGAGCGATACCCCCCCCCCCCCGCCACCGCCTGCGTCCCAGTGGCCGCAGGACAGCAGCACGCGTCGCCAGGGACCCACAGGCAGCACAGGAGAGGCCAGGCTGGCCTCTCTCCAAAGTGGCTGCTGTTTCAGCACTGGTTTTGGGCTGACTTTGCTAAGACCGGGGTACCCGCCCAAACCCCACTCGGTACCTGTCCACGGGGCGCCCGCGGCCTCCGGGCTCCACGCGCTCCAGGAGCCGTGCCCAAACTCCTCCCGGGCCCGGACCTGCACCCTGTGCCTCGCGCCTCTCCAGGCGTCGTGGATGATGCAGTGATGCTGGAGCTCCTTGACCTGGGGTGGGGGGAGGGGGCTCGGGTCGGCAGCTCCCCGGGGACAGCGTGCCCTCGGCGCCCCACGCCCCGGCTGCACCGTCTCAGGCCCCGTGAGCGACTTGGCCGCACCGTCACCCCTGCGGCCCAGAGCGGGCCAGGCCCCCCGCCCCTGCAGGCAGAAGCTGTATGTCGTGCCCACAGAAGCCCTCCTGTCATACCCACGGCACACCTGCCTCCCCGGGTCACACTCATCCTCCCACACAGAGCCTCAAAGAGGAGGGCCCCATGCCATCATTCCTGCCTGACAGACGGGACGATAGAGGCTCAGAACGGTTCAGGGACTCACCCACAGCCACTCGGGCGGCAACTCACAAAGCAGGACCCGGAGCCGTGTTGTTCTTTCCAGAACCTTCCCACTGCCCCCGAGGAACCAGTGCCCTTCTCCGTCCAGAAGTCGAAGGAGAACTTACCATCCACGTTGTGAACGTCTTCGACCGCTCGGCCCGGTATCGGAGCTCAAACTGCAGCCTGTAGAAGTAGGAGTTCCAGGACGGGGGGTCCCGCCAGGTGACCCTGAGCCAGCGGGGGTTTCCGGGCACTGCAGTGACGGTGACATTGACAGGTGGGTCAGGCTGCACTGTGGGGAAAGAGCAGGCACGCTCGAGCCGAGCCGGGGAGCAGGCAGCACCCCAGCCCAGCCCCCTCTCCCTCCCCCCTCCCCCAGCCCCCTTCCCCTCTGGCAAGTAAGGGCCCAGAGGCACCAGCTCAGCAGACCCCCACAGCCAGCCCCTCCCTGCCCCCCACAAAGTCTCGAGTGGCCCTCGGTCAGAGGGGACAGAGGCAGCTGAGGGCGGGGGTCCCAAAGAGCCTACTCACAGATTCCGTAGCCCTCAAACGTTTGGGGATGGCTGGACTTGCTCCCAGCAGCGTTGCTGACGCACAGGGACACCACGTACAAGGAGTTGTCCCCCTCAGGGACTGCCAGCTGGCAGGAGAAGGTCTGCGGCCCCGGAAAGTACTGGCACGGCTCCTCCGAGTCTCCCATGGGGCTGGTCCCGCTGCACACAGGACGCGCAGCCTCACCACCAGCTCCTGCCCCTTCCGGGAGCGGGGCGGCAGCCGGGCACACCGCCTCCTGCAGGCCGAGTGCTCTTGACCCTCCCCCCCTCCCCCTCCCCTCAGGGGACCAGGACAGCCTTCACGGTCAGTGCGGGGATCAAGGCCAGGCCGGATCACGATCACTATCACCATCACGAGGAGGGAGAGAGTTTCTGGCAGGCTGACGAAATATTCACATATTCGAGGTGAGTCAGATCGGGGCCTACCTGGCTCGGAGGCCTGAGACTTCCCCACTTACAACATGTGTGGGCATGCAAGGCCCCAGCAGCCACTCGCCCTGCCTCAGGGGGACAGATCACTGCTGATTCAGGTTTAGACCCCCGGCCCAGGGCAAATTCTCTCCTTCTGGGAAACCTGCTCCTGCGTTCCCAGTGGGAGTCATCGCCTCTTTCCCTCCAACACCATCCTGCCTCCATCCAGGGTGGGGGTGGAGGGGTGGGGCTCTAGTAAGCGCCTAGCCCAAGGCTCTTGCTGACCTCACCCAGCACTCGAGGGAAGGACCGGGGACCGGGGAGACAGAACAGGGGGTGAGGGTGTCCCCACGTGCACATGCCTCTTCCCAGGGGCCCGTGCCATCCCCGCAGGCGCAGGGCCCTGTGGCGGCTCCCCTCCCCCTTGGTCACTTCAGGAGGGGGCCCAGGTGCCAGCAGCTGCTGGAGGGAAGCATGAGCCGCCACGCAAAGTCCGCCAGCTCAAGTGTCACCTGGGTCAGCCCTCTGCCCCGAGCAGGCTGCGCACGAACACCTGCCAGGCCCCAAACTGTCACCCGAACGACCCGGCTGTAGGTTCCAGATGGTCCCGATTCTCCCTATGGGCCGCGGTGCCTCTGCAGACAGGCAGTCTACACAGCTCTACGTGGAGCCCGAAGCATTAATATTAGCACGCGACACTCTGCCGACAGACCCGGCAGAGACCAGTCCCCCCCGGTGCAGTCACTGCTTGGATTTCCTGACGCTCTGAAAACTCAGCTCAGACTCCCTTGCAAACGCCCGGAGCAAGGGCTGAGGCTCTGGGACTAACCACAGGGTCGTCTTCCACCTCCTGCCCCAGCCCCGCTACCCGGGCCCCAGCCTACTCCTCTCCAGGCCTTTCTAGTGGAAGGAGCCTGATAAAGGCTCCCAGTCAAGGCCGATAAGGAGCCGATAAGGAGCCGGGCCGGCCGCTCTCCCGGCATTGGGACATCTCTCCCTGGGGGCAACGCCCAAGATCTGGCATTTTGAATAAAACCAGACAGGCTGGGATGTGATTCCTAGGAGAGCAACTACCAGCAAGATGGCCTCAAACAAGTTAATCAGTCTCTCAACCTCAGCTTCTCCATCTGCTAAACAAGGAAAATGAAATGACCCCCGCTGGTGGCGTGGCTGGAAGCGCAGCCCTGCCCCGCCCCGGCCAGTCCCCCGCTCGCTCCTCCCCACCCAAAGGATGACTTTGCATTGACGACAAGGATGTCTGGGAACTGCTGGCCGCCAGTGCCCCCCGCGGGGCTGCTGTGGGGGGGGGGGGGGCGCAGTGAGGATGCAGACACACACCCCGACCCAGATACTCACAACTTCCTCACCAGAAGCGTGGCCCTGGTCGTCCCGGAGGGGGGGCTCCGAGGACCCCACTCACAGGCCACCTTGCTGAGGGGGCTCTTCCGGAAGCAGGTGATCTGGGGCTCCTCGGGAGGGGCTGAAGGGAAAGGGTGGCCAGTGTGAGGGGGGCACGGCCCTGAGGCCAAACAGCTCCCCCACACACACTCACTCATTCAATCTCTGCAACAACTGCAAGTAAGTAAAAAATTAACCACATCTGGGGCGCCCGGGTGGCTCATTCGGGTGAAGTGTCTGACATCAGCTCAGGTTATGATCTTGGATCCCGCTGTTTGTGACTTCGAGCCCCGCGTCGGGCTCTGTGCGGACAGCTCAGAGCCTGGAGCCTGCTTCGGATTCTGTGTCTCCCTCTCTCTCTGCTTCTCCCTCGCTCACTCTCTCTCTCTCTCTCTCCCAAAAATAAATAAATATTAAAAAAAAATTAAAAAGGGGCGCCTGGGTGGCTCAGTCGGTTGAGCGTCTGACTTCAGCTCAGGTCATGATCTCATGGTTTCTGGGTTCGAGCCCCACATCGGGCTCTGTGCTGACAGCCTGGAGCCTGGAGCCTGCTTTGGATTCTGTCTCTCTCTCTCTCTCTCTCTCTCTCTCTCTCTCTCTCTCTGCCCCCCCCCTCAAAAATAAATAAAAAACATTAAAAATCTTTAAAAAATTAACCACATTTGCCAGCGAGGACACCGAGGGGACAGAGGTGAAGCCGTGAAGGAGGAGCACTCCAGGCCTCCGGCTGTCAACCCAGCCTCAGGCAGCAGGGTGGGGGCCCTGTCAGCCACGCGCCCCCACCCACGAGGAGCCTCCTCCAGTCTCACTGCTGGCAGATGTCAGTGGGTCTTCCCCTGTAGGTGTCGGGCCAAAGAAATAACAGCAGTTGGAAGGGACAGCTGGGGCGCTCTGAGCACACAACTGACCTTCCACCAGCAAAGGCACAGTTCCAGCCAGGCTGCCGTCGTCGCGGTAACAGGAGTAGTTTCCAGAGTCGCTGAGCTGCACCGACCTCAGAAGAAGCCTCCCTCCCACGCCAGCACCCCGTTCCTGCTGTGAGCCTGGGACCCGATTCCTCAGCAGCCAGTGAATCGTGGCACTGTCTCCAGGCTCCTCGCCCGGGCAGGTCAGGGTCACGTTGGCCCCAGGCCGGGCGGTCACCACATCACTCAGCACCTCTGGGGACAGAGAGGACACCCCGTAAGCCCACAGCAACCAGGAAGGACTCTGCTTCTGACCCGAGAAGCCACAGGAGTCAGAACTGCCCACCTGTTGAGACCGCCCGCCGGCCGGCTCCCCCGGGCCACAGCTACTACCTCGGCCCAATTAGGGCAACGGCCTCCCACCCCCCCCCCCCCCC